CTTGTGCGGACGAAGCCCGAGCGGGTCCCCAGGGATGAGCAGGACAAGGCACAGACCCAAACGGACATGCCGCTGCCCCCCAGCAGCCCCCCAGTCATGGCCTCGGACAAGAAGATGAGTATTCTCGAGGTCACCCGCACCGTCCAGGGAACCCAGGCGAAGATGGAGCAGTGTGGTGACATATGGCCAGCGGTCCAGGCCCGTCATTGGACGGCCGGGAGGTGTCAGGGGTGGACACGGCCACAGCTTTGGATCAGGACAGGGAGAAGGACTCAGACATGCAGCCAGATGGGAGCATCCCCGCTCCCATGGGAAGAAGCTTCCCGGCACAGCCCAGACACTGGCAGTGGATGCCAGCATGAAGGGCACACGGCCGGACGGCCGGGGATCTCTGGAACATGGCGGACCCCAGCGTGCGGCCGGGAGCTGGTCCTGCCTCAGCCAGCTCCTGGGGGTGCTGCAGAGGATGAAGAAGGAGTCAAAGCCTGAGATGAAGAATCCAAAGGAAGAGATGAAAGAGAAGAGACCCCGGCTGGAGGAGCAGAGCAGTAAGCGGCCCCAGCACCGAGCGTCCCGCACACAGCCGACACCCCACGGCAGCCCTCTGTCCCCTCCCTCGACAGCTTCTCCACCAGCGGATGGAGGACAGGAGCCCAGGCAGGAGGAGGAGACGGCGGACGTGTCAAGGAGCAAGCGCTTCTCCCCGCAGGACTCCCTGCCCTCCATACATCACCTAAGCACTGAGGGGTTTCTGGACCCCCAGACTCCACCGGACCCCCAGGCTCCCCAGACATACCACGACCACCAAAAGGCCCACCGGAAACTGCCTTCACTGGCCAACCCCAAACTCCTGGACAACCCGATGCCCATCATCTCCTGCATGGAGCCCATGCCCCGTCCTTCAGCCACCAACAAGGACAAGTTGAAATAATACTGTGGGACAGGTTGGGTCAAGTGCCGGGGTCCCACTCCTCCTCATCCCCACATGTGGCGAGCTCGAAAACACCGAGACCTTGAAACCCTCACACCATAGCTGGCTATAAAGTAAATATTTTTTGCAAATTCAGACACTAGAGTCTTCTAAAAGTGCAGTTTTCCCAAGTATTAGAAAACAAATTAGTCCTGTGTCGCTCAAACCGGGACACTTGCTGCCCTGTGAGGTCCTCCTGCTGTTCTGCACGGGAATGGTGTGTCTCCACGGTGCTGGTTGGGGTCCCGCTGCTCCTGCCTCCAACAGCAAAGGTTGGACATTTCTGTCCCGTGCGTTTGCAATGAGAACTTTGCGGTCCTCGTTGTCCTTCATGGAATTGGGGTGTTTGACCTTGCTCAGTGAGCGTTCTGCTTGCATCCATGCCAGTCGGACCTGAAAAAATGCCAAAAGGAGGTCAGAATATTAATGCAGATGCTTTACGCCTTGGTATCCTTCGTGGGTGGCTCCAATGAGGGATGGCTGCCGCGTTGTGAGCGACGTGAGGAGGCTGCAGTTTCCTCTGATCTCCCAAGAAAAGCCAAGCGGCTCTGGCTTGGCTGCCCCGGGACCGCGCCGTGGCAGCACCCGCCTCGTCCGGCACGACTGCGACGTGCTGCCTCCTGTCCTACGGGGCGTGAGCAATCCGCTGCTCAAAGACCTCCAACGCGGCCTCTTCTTGTTCCGTGGGGAGCTCGTCCTCCTCCAGCTCGTCGTCAGAGAGCCCCAGGAACTCTGTAGGCACCGTGGTTGTCTCCTCAAAGGGATGAGCACACGGGCAGTAGCGATAATCGGCGAAGCTCCGTGTGCCGACGTGATTTTCCGAGCACAGCTGGGATTTTCAGAACTCGCAGTGCAGTGGGACGCTGCCAGTGACCTTGAACTGGTCGGCTGCGGTCAGCAAACTCTGAATGTTGCCAGCTGTGATGGGTACTGTCCCGTGGTAACGAGCCGCATCCTTTTAGGTGGAGTTTTGGAGATTTTATAGACTCCCTTCTCTGCGTTGCTCCAGTTGCGGACAAAGAAAGCCCTGAAAAAACCTGAGCAGTGACGGGGGAAAAGGCAGCTTTGCTGCGTTAAACCCAGACCCTGCTATCACCGTGGCTCCTCCTTCCCCGGGCATCGATTTGGGCACTCGCCGTAGCCACCCTGGGAGGCTGCGGGGTTATTACTTCATGGTTTACGAACTGGTTGTCTTAAAAAGGAGTCGAGGTGGTGAGCGGCCACCTTGCTTCAACGAGAACGCCAGAGGGCGGTGGCGTGTGGGGAAGGCAAACCTCCTGCCCAAGGCCAGACGAGCCCGTCTGGCCATGCTCCAGCCCTGCACCGCATCTGGGGCTTCGTCAGACACCGCTTCCAGCGCTGCTCTTAGATCTTTGGTTGTGGCTGAATTCTGGTGTCCAGGGAGACACCGGGACTATGGGGAACTGCTGGAGGAGAGTTTCAGTGCCGAGGGAAGCGCTGGAGAGACACTAAGGCAGCGTGACGCAGCCCGGGAAATCCTGTTTGTCCCCGTCCCGTCTCGTTCCAGGCTCTGCCCTGAAGTATTGACTGCAGCTACAGCAGATCGTTTTGCGAGCGCTGAATTCCCCACCGCCCGCGCTGATGATCCCATGGCAGAGTTTCCCCTTCTGGTGATCCTCATGGATAGACGGCGCGAGCCCAGGGACTGCGTGAAGCCCTGCACGTGCCTGAGGATGACGAGTATCCGGTGGGAGCCAAGGCAGAGTCAGGGGACAGGGAGCTCCGTGCTGACTCCTCGCTGGCCTCGCTCGTGGCCGGCTGCTTTTCCTCTGCGCTTCGTCGTGTCTGTAGGTGACACGGGTGCCAAGGAGCCCCTCTACGAGGGTGTCGGCACAGCTTGCAAAACGGTTTGGACTTTTCTAGGCTTAAAAAAAATAAAATGCAAGGGTCAGTACTGGGAGCTGCTTCGGGCACAGGGCAGAGGCACAGCCCCCAGTCAAGAGTGCAGCGAGTGGCCCCAGGTACTGCCGGACAGCCCCCAAACACCTCCCAGCAGCCCCAGTCCGGCCCTGGGCAACCCTTGGGACTTGTCTTTAGGGTGACACCATCTCCTTCTTGACTTTGGTGCCCCAATGGAACTGCTCTGCCACCACAGCATCTGCTGCTGAGGGTATCTCATCTCTCGGGATGGTCCATGTCAACCCTCCAGACAAGATGTCCCGTGGGGTGACAGCGATACAGCAACGCAGCCCGCAGCTCTCCGAGTCACCGAGACTTTCCCATCGCCCACTGACACACTGCGCCGCTTCCGTATTCCCTGTTCTGTTTCGCTCTAGCCAAGACCCAAATTTCTACAAGGAATTATACTCGATTGTGCCTCAAAACCTCTGTTCCTCTTTCCAAGGCAAAGGCTTGTATCCAGGAGACCCTCGTTGTCCTCTTCCACTGCCTGACCACAGGACGTAATGTCAACTTTGTCTTCAAAGATACAGGCGTCCTTTCCATCGGGGGTAAAAAAGTCACAATGAGATTATTTTTACGAAGACCTAATTTATTGGATGGACGCAACTGGATGCCTTCAGAATCAGTTACTTCACGTAAGAGTATCTCCAACAGCTGCAGAAGGTGTCCAAAGGAGTAAAGTGGTGGTGGTGCCTTCCTGGTATTGTTCACCTTCCAGAAAGCTCTGTCTGTGTGTGTCTTTGGGCAGGAGATGGCTTCTCTCCACCGAGGACAGAGGATTTGGTCGGTTCGGAGGGAAAAGGAGCTGCGACAGAGTCCTGCCCCAGCAACGTCACGGAGCTGTCACGGTGAGGCCACCACCAACGTCCCTGGTAGCTCTCTCCCGACACCAGCATCTTCAGCCGGGGCTGTGCTTTCGCTCCGTTCCGGGGAAGCACAGGACAACACCCCTCCACGCACACCACCAGCCCATCCCGAAACGTCAGGAGGACACAGTGCACCCCAAACAGCCCTCTCACCCCAACTACACCCCACTGTGCCCCAAACACACCCGTGTCACCCAAAACACACACCTGGCCCCAACTCTACCCCACTGCACCCCAAACACACCGCCCTGTCACCCCAACTACACCCCAATGTGCCCCAAACACACCCGTCACCCAAAACACACACCTGGCCCCAACTCTACCCCACTGCACCCCAAACACACCGCCCTGTCACCCCAACTACACCCCAATGTGCCCCAAACACACCCATCACCCAAAACACACACCTGGCCCCCAACTACACCCATCTGCACCCCAAGTACACTCAGCTGCACCCTAAGTACACTCAAGTGCCCCCCAAACACACCCGTTGTCACCCAAAACACACACCTGGCCCCAACTGCACCCCACTGCCCCCCAAACCAAAAGGGCCAGCTGGGAAAAGTGATGCTGAT